ACTGCTTTTGGGGCAAAAAAGAAAAAAGGAACTTTGCTGAGCTGTCAGTGAATATACCATGTCACCCTTACCTCTCATCCTCACCAGTTAGAATTGCTCTTCTACAAATTAATCAGCTGTAACTTTATGAGTTGATTGATTTGTAGGTGCAACAAATTAAGTCTTGGGGCCCCAACGGTTTTCTCTCCCTGCCCCCCCCTGACCATTGAGGAGCGGGGATGTTGATGTTGCCACCCACCTCTCTTCCCCCCACAGGCGAGCCACGCGTCTATGGCCACATCCTCATCCAGGAGCCCCTCCATCACGTGATCGGGGTCCAGGAGAACACGCCTCTTGTCGCTGCGACCCGGGGGACCGCCTTCGAGCTGCACAGCGAAAGGCCCCCTCTGCTCCTTTCTCCAGATCTCCTGGGTCCCTTGCGACAGGAACTGCCCTGCCCGCCAAGTCGCTCGCCCTGTGTTCAGTCGGGAGCCTGCCTGCCCTCTGCAGCCACGGAAGCAGCAGCCACACACCAGGGCCGAAGCTTCCCGGGAAGCCCTCCACGGCCCCTCTCGCCCGAGCCCGAGGTGGACCCTTCCACCCCAAAAGCCCCCAGCAAAGGCAGGGATCCTTCTTCCCACCCTGGGCTAGCAACAGAGGCAACGCTTAGAGCCACGAAAATGGAGGAAACCCCGTGGACATTGGGGTTGGACAAGGGAAGCAGGCAGGCAGGGCAGCCGTCGTGCGGGTCTGAAATGCAGCCGGGGGTTCCTGTCGCCACCCGCATGCCGGAATCCCAGCAGAGCCAGGACAGCCACGACGTGCCCAGCGCTCCCCGTGTCTCTGGGCCTACAGAAGAGGCCACGGACAAGCCACCTGGCTCCTCGGCAGAATCTCCCCAGCTGCAAAAGCAGGCGGAGCCACCTTCCCTTCCAAACAGCAGCTCACCAGGGCGAGCGGAAAGCCCTTCGGGGAGAGCAGATCCCATGAAGTTGCCAGGGCGTGGGAGAAGGGAGGTACCGGTGCCAGCCCTAAGCGCAGAAGCCTCCAGAAGGGAGCCGGGGGCCTGCAGCGGGGTGGCCGCGCATCCCGGCCCCCTCCCGGAACACTCCAGGGCTGCCCCTCCCCCACTGCCTAGTAGCTCCTCCAGCCCATTGCCGGCTGGGGCAGGTACAGCGGTCAAAGGCCCCCCTCCCGCCAATGCTCCTGGTTTGCTGGCGGTGGAGGCGGTGGTGGCAGAGTCTCCAGGCCCCCTCCACGAGGGGCGCCAGACGGCCCCCCTCCCGAAGCTCCTGCCCTCCTCCTCGCCGGTCCGCCGGTGCCTCTCCTCCAGCGCCGCCGCCATCTCCAGGTACCTCGCGGCCTCCTGCATCAGCCACAGCTTGGCCAAGAAGAACGGGGGCCCTCCCCTGGAGGAGACGCCTGTGCCCGCCCGGCCTTTCCCCTCTGGGGGGGCGCCTGGGGGGCCCCCGGCCGACCCGCTGGCTCTGCTCCCCAGAGCGGCCCCCAAGGCCTCCAGCCGTGGGGGGAGACTGGGGTCCTGCCTGCCAAGGGAGGGGTGCCAGCCCTCTGGGTCGGGGCCTCCTTCGCCCACGCGCCACAAGGCCTTGCTGGCCACCGTCCAGGCCTTTGAGCCTCGCGTGCGCTTCGCTTCCGCCTCGGAGCCCAATTCCCGAGCCCAGTCGCCCTCCGCCGCAAAGCCTCGGGTCTGCTCCCCTCCTCCGACCAGCCCCCCCACAAGCGGCTTCACCCCCTTGTCCGCCCACCCCCACGGGCAGCCGACCGGCTCCGTCCTTTCCCCGGTGGCCCTGAGGCCGGACACGGCTGGGAGGAGCCACTCCTGCCCGCAGGTGGCCCCGTCGAGTCTGCCCGAGAGCCTGGCCCCCAGCCCTTGCGCTGGCCCTCCGGACCTCGGGGGCCTCCAGTGGCCCAACGTGCCCGGCCTCTGTTTGAAGTACGTGAACAGAGAGCGCCGGCCGAGCAGCCCCCAGAGGAGGCCTCCTCCCGAGGGCCAGGGCTCCCCAAGCCCAGCGTTCCCCTTCAGTGGGGCGGACGCAGCGCCCCGCACAGACAGGAACCAGCAGCGGGCCAGCTATTCCACCACCGTCAACATCCAGATCGGCGGGAGCGGCCGGATCGCCTCCTTCAGCAACGCACAGGTCAGCCTGACCCATCATCCCCTGCTGGCCACGCTGGAGCCCCTGAGTGCCAGGAAGGTCAACGGCAGCGCTTTGGAGGCACCCCAAAACACATGAAACCCCCCCCAGCAGCCTTTGCCAGGGACACCAGCCCTCTCCCTTCCCTGGTCCTCCCCCCCATGCTGCCTTTGACTGGGACCAA